TTACAAAAATTATATTATATATATAATATATATTTGTAATTTTGACTAATTTCACAGTCGCTAAATAGCCATTAATTACACAACTCGCGTATATTTCTTAAGATGTCTTGCAAATACATTATAATTCACAAATGAAATTTCACTACTAATTACCTACATTGCGTATTCTTCTACTACCATTTTCCTGCCACGAGATTTCATTTTGCGCCCTTTATTCTTTATTACTTAATTCGCCGATTGGTTACTTTTTTTGCGAATTCTTTATATATATTTCTATATTTTCAACAAGTTTTCTATAAGCGAGGAAAATATCTGCCACCAGAAATTTAAAAACAGTACACAGAGATCCCGATTTCCAAGAAAAAATATTGTTTTCATAGATGCGAAACCTTTAAGTTCCTCTAAGAATTTACAGGACCACAAAATGAAATATAACTTAATCTTTTGTCAGTTCCGTTCATCTGCAGGTCCAGAAGGTATTCGGGCAGGCATTTATGGTCCCAGGATGAAGCTATCTATGCTCGGTGCATTTACCAACTCAGCTAGAGGCTACCTCGACAAAGGAATCCTAATCCTTAGCGACAACCAGGCAGCACTTAATGCATATTCATCCTTTGAGATAAAATCATGCTTGAGTAGGGCTGCCAGGCGTCCCGGTTTTCCCGGACATGTCCCGGTTTTAGACTATTTGTCCCGGTGTCCCGGTCCAACCTTAAAATGTCCCGGGTTTCGTTTAAGTGTCCCGGTTTTCGATTTGATTGCACAAATTTTGAACAAAAATGACTACACTGACAGAAACAACGCATTGTAATATTAAGAAAATATTTTAGTTTTTTATTTACTGGGGGAAATAACGCATAGTAAACATGAATATTTTTTATTTGATTATCGTTTTAAAATGTTCGTATTTAAAAACAATACTTTCATACCACGAACACGTGTTGAATCAAACTGAACATTTGAATGCACATTTACATGTCTGGCTGCAGCTGAGTGCACGAAGATGCTTGCCACAATTTGCTAATTTCCAGAGCATCAGGGTTCAAACCCCATTACAGGCAGCATGGAATTTAAATATTTATTTTTTAACTTAATTATGAAAAAGCATCCGTTAAGTGCAAAGCGCTTCATTTTAATATTGGCGTATTTGAATCGAATATTTCTATACTAAATACTAAAATTTGTATAATTAAATTTATTACGAGTTGGGTTGGTGCCCTTTCATATGCGATTTTTTTTTTAAATTTAGCACGTTTTGCATAGTTGATGATTAATATAATTATGTACCTAAATACGTTAAAATGACATGCACAGAGTTTTACAATTATATTAAGCAAAAGCCAGAAGTTTTGAAACAAGTTCACAGCAACGAAACAAATGACTGATATTTTAATGTTACCTTGTACTTAATTTTTTTTTTCTTTCGTGAAACCTAGATTACTTATAAGTACCGTGCCGTACAAAATTATTGGCTCGGAGACTCTTTCATCCGATCACAATTTCTAATCAGATCTTTTAGAAAAATTTTGAAAATGTAGCTTTTGAGCCAACTAGTAAAGTGCAAGTCTGAAGTTACCAGAAAATTTCGTTGATTTTTTGCTATTATTTATTTTTTGCTGACAGTGTCTTCCACATACAAAAAAATGTCGAACATAAGTAGTTTGTATGGAAAAAACTCTCAGTAAAAACAATACCAAAAATCAACTAAATTTTTATGGGCTGCAAAACTTCATTTTCAAAATTTGTATAAAAAAGTCTGAATAGAAAGTGCGAATTTTTATGTAAATTTATGGCATTTTCCCGAGTTTTGAACAAAGTATTTTGAACTGTATTTTTATAAAGAACAAAAAAGGTACATGCATTGTGAGAAATTCTCTGTGCTTTAGTTGTGATAAATTGTTTTATTTTGCTGGTGTAGGTTGTAATGAGATCATGATCTCATGTTTTTATGTTTTTTTTTGTTTGTCAAAATAAAAATTTACTACATCCTTTCGTACGTAATTTTTGTCGAAACGAAAGGAAAGGGAGCAAGAGGCC